AATAATTTATTTCAAGGTCCAAAAAGCAGTTACTAGAAAATTTTGCAACAATTGACGCACAAAGAAAATTATTATTATGAAATAATAATTTTATTATATTTTTGGGTTTTAATGAAAGTATCTCTATGACGCGTTATTGCAATTTGACACGTTTATATTATATATACGAGATGATGAATCCTAGAGAATAAAAATAGAGAGTTTTCCCGCAGATTGTTCACCAGAGTGGGAGTGTTTTTTTGGTAAACAAAAAAATGTTAATTGGTTTCACACATTTAGTGCCAAAGATTTGAAACTTTTACAATATACATTATACATATACATATTCAAGATCACTATAATGCAAGACTCATTTAGCTAGCTGCTTATCTATATGTTTTCTTTGGACCTAGTCCCACATTGAATAAATATGATTCATGTGTACTTCCTTTCTGACTTATTCACTCGTGACTTTCTCCAGATTGCCCACGCAAAATAATATCTTTCTCATGTATACTCATTATGAGAAAGCTTTTCCCATATGCATATACATATTTAATTTTTAAACAAAAAGTCAGCATGATTAATCGCACCTTTTCTATACCATTTTTGTTTTATTAAATTTTGACAGAAAAAAAAATTATACTTTCTACATATTTTATTTTAATTTTCTTTTATTAATACGCTGAAAAAAAATATATTTGATTCAAATACTCGATTAATTGACTATTATCAAATAAATTATTATTAATAATTAACAATAATTTGTATATTTTATCATTAAATTTTTGTTTAATATTATAATATTACATAAGTTGACTAGTAACACACGCGCGCACAAATGCGCGCTACTAACATTCCATTGGTCAACTTTCTTATATAAAAATTTTTAAATTATTATGATAATGTAATTTTATAATTCTAAATAATGATAAAATTCTCAAAAAAAAAATTAAATTTTTATGAGACAAACGATTTTATTGCAAATTCTTGCACAAAATACACCTAAAAGTGTAGAAAAAAATTGACAGTCAAATCCAGGTAGAGGAAGACACCTATTACCACCCTTAAGCCAACCAAAACCATAAAAAAAGTTCCCAAAAAATTCAATTTTTCTTAGGCAGGCTATTTCATTGCAATTTCTTGCACAAAATACACCTAAAAGTATAGAAAAAAATTGGCAGTCAAATCCAAGTAGAGGAAGACCCCTATTTCCACCTTTAACACAGAAAAAACCTGAATTCAAATTGAGTATAGATTCTATACTCAATTTGATTCGCAACAAAAATGAAACTGGTTGTTTCATTTCGAGTTCTAAGGTAAAAGTATCAAAATGAAACAGGCAAGTTTCATTTTGAGAAAAAGAAAAATGGAAAAATATTGTGAAATAACGAATAATTTTGCACAAAAACATGAAATATAATAATTACAAAGAAGTAAATAACACGCTAGACTTAATATATTTGATTAAAAATTGCTTGTAATCGCTTAATAAAATAATAAAGGAAATATGTTTTTAGGTTAGAAAAATGAAAACATGTGTTTTGACAACAGGAACGGTACTGCCAACTTAAATAATAGCGGTAAATTTAAAAACTTACGAAATTAATTATTATCTACGTAAATAATAATAAATAATTTTTATTTAAAAACTTCTAAATATTCGTACTGGTCAAAATAATCTTTCTGGTGTTGTTGAAATATTAGAAACAATAATTGAAATACAAAATTACTCTGCTTATGATGCCAACTTAGAAATCTGAAATTCCAGCCAATATCATTTTGAATAACATGAAGTTTGTCCCATACTCATTTCGATACCCAAAAGAAAATGAGTTGCAACAAAAATGAGTCCAAGTTTTTTCTGTGAAGGCATCCCCTAAATTTTTACCGTTTTTCGCAATTTTAACAGTTTTTTTTACTGCCAAATCGTCAATTTTGGCCCCAAATCGTTCATCAGCAACCGAAAATACATTCTAGAATGGAGGAAATTTTAAAGCACTTAATATTTGCATAGGAGCTTGAACAGACAAAAAAATGCCTTATACTTTATTGTTATTAATTTTTGTGTACAGGAAGTTCGTTCAATGCCGAAAGGCATGAACTATAAATAATAAATAATAATAATTAATAATATTTTTTTCAGTACAATAATTATAATATAATTGTAATTAATTAATACACCCAGAGAAATGTTTTAGTTAAAACAAATATAATATATTTAAGTTAAATGAACATTTGACTCAGAGCGTAATAACTTTTTTATTTGTCATTAATGAAATTTTTATTTAAATCAAATAAAATTTATTAGCAACAAATAAATATTTATTTAAAATAAATAAAAATTTATTTGGCTCTAGTGTCAAATACATCTTTTTTCTGTGTGTGTTTAATATAAAATAATAACTATCCTTTTCTTTTTCTATATGAAAATTTTCTTTTCTGCAAAATCAATTGTATAACTGATAATATATTTATTTTAAAAAAGTGATTTCGATAATTTCTTTCTTTTTTCCGTGAGAGAATCATCATTAATAATAATTATGTTCCGTGTGTATGTATTCATGAGGCCATTCATTTTCAGGCTCTTTTGCAAGTGACAAGGCGATAGTTTTATAGGCTCGTTTTCTTATCCGCACTTTCACGTGCATTCTTAATATATACTTGAACATTGAGCAGGCTCTGTTCGCGAAGGTCACGCGTGCTAATGCATCCAATGCACATTTTAACAAATACTTTGCCGAGTCATATATATTTTATCATTTCGAATATTAAAAAAAATATATTATTCACTTTTTTTTTTTGCATTTCGAGCGAAAATTTTCATCATTTTAAATATACTTTTTATTCCTTTTATATGAAAAGGAATTTATTTTCAAAATGGTTCAATTTTTTTTAGAAAAGGATCTATTTCAGTTTATTCTTCTACTTTTTTTGAATTTTTTTTTTTAAGAATTAAGTTTAAAGAAATAGCATAGCTTATAAAATTCTACACTGGAAAAAAATGGTATTGAATCAAGAAAATCAATTTACTGTATTTGATTCAATATTTTTTTAATACAAGAAAATTTTAGAAGTAAATTTTTTTGAATTAAGAAAATTAGTAATTTATTAATTAATTAGTAATTATTTTCTTGAATGATAATTTTTTTCAGTGTATTGATTATCAAGTTTGTCAAAGTGTTTACATAATCATTTTGGATGATGTGATTTATTATTATATAAAGAAAATTAATATACGTAAGGCAAATAAATTTAGTCAAGGGGCTGTTGTAATATTATATGGCCCTTTAGAAATAACAGCCGGAAGTAACGCACTTTGTGCCGACGAGACTTATTTTCATCGCGTTACCAAGTTACTTTGCTCTATCCGTAAATAGAATTGGTTCTTAAGAGGCTCTCTTTGCGAGCGTGACTTTTTGCACGAAAACATTCACTGCTACCACAATTGCCAAGTTTACAGTATGTAACAAAAAAAAAAAAAAAAAAATATCATTTACTCAACTTCCCAAACCTGAAACTGGAAACTTCTTTTAATTTTAGCAATCTCGAAAATTTCTTTGTTCCATTTTTAACATGTTCTTGAAACGCATGTAACAAATTTTTCTAAAGTATTAAAATGCAAATTAAAAAAATTCCTTCAAAAAATAAAAGTTTTTGTTATAAATTTTTTAAAAATTATAATCAAAGAATAAAAAATTCAATCCTTATGCTTCAATGGCTCAATCATTCTACACTCAAAAATCATCATCATTCAAAAATTTATTTGAAATACTCGATTATTTGACTATTATCAAATAAATATTTACTTGAACCAAATAATTTTTATTTGAATCAAATCAATTTTATTTAAATCAATAATTTCTGTATTTTAAACAAATGTACAATCTCAAATAATAATTATTTGATACAAATGAATATTTATTTGTATCAAATAGTCAAGTAGATTCTTTGAATTAAATAAATTTTTTTTTATCAGTGTATTATTAATTTATTATTATTTTTCCTATTATTAATTTATCAGAGTAAAATTTTGTATATAGTTTAGTAAAGTTCACAGACGAATTTAGAAAAATTTACAAAACAGTTTTGTAAAATTTACTAATCGAGTTCGATAAAATTTTTGATTATTAATTTATCAAGTGATAAAATCATTAATATTAAACAATTTTTTTTTGTTAATATCAAAAAATAATATTGGAATTTATTTATTTATTTTTTTTGATTAAAATACTACTCACAATTAAATTCCTTCTATTTTGGAAAAATTTTCCAAATTGAAACGGAAAAAAAAAATTAAATAAAAAATTTTAATTGAGAATAATTTATTGAAAAAATTGATGTTTTAGATAGAAAAAAAAAATATTGAGAGAAATAAAATTCTCTTGACACACTGTGAAATGGATTTAAATATTGCAATTCGTCACGTATATATGTAGAATTAACATTTAAATAACTGGTCGTACAAGATGGCATTTTATCTCAGTGTAGTTACAAAGTGTAGTGCACTATGTACATTATACAAATTAATTTCAAGGTCTAAACAAGTATATATGTATATCTCAAATTGTGTAAGATATCTTATTGTCTTCCATGTAAAGTGAACTATTAAATCAAGTAAACTTCTCATATTTCAGAGAGTGTTTTAATTATTATTTGTTACACTTATATTTGATATTGAAAACAAAAAGCAATTTCATTAATTTAACCCTGAACTTTTTTAAGAGGAAAAAAAAAGTTATGAAAAATACAGTAGACACTCGATAATTTTACTTTGTAGACAGTTATCAAGAGATGACTGTATTTTTTGTGATTTTTAATTTTATCAATTAAAATTATACTGTTACTAATTATAATTTTTTTATTATAATTATATTATATAGTTAGAATTATATTATTTATAATTATATAATATAATTATAATTATATTATCTAATATAATTTTTTGTGTTAAAAAATAAAAATATTATTTTCAAAATTTAAAAAAGGAACTAAATAAAAGAAATAATTTTTTGTTTCAGTCGTTTACTGCGATTACACAGCATCCGGAAGGTCGTTGCAATTTCTGGAGGAGTATATTACAAAAGAGGTCCTTCCATTGTTGGGGGACACTCGAACATCAACTTCGATATGCAGTTTACAGTCCTCACTATTCAGGTGGGTTTCCTTGGAATTATTATTTTCAAACTGCTCAATTTATAAATATATGATTTTCAACAAGGCAATTATATATGCAAAACAAGGCCAATAACTGCATTTGGAAATGAAGTTAATAAAGAACAGGAAAAAGTTATTTTTTTTCCATACTGCACAATAAATTATTTTTAATGCGGGAAATTTTGATAAATACAATAATTTAATTAATAATTTTTCGAAACAATTATAAATTAATAATAATGTTTTTCAGAATAATTATAAACTAAATTAATTAAATAATTTAATTAATTAAAAAAAAATTTTTTTTTTTGTTGTCACAACGAAAAAAAGATTTAATCTACTTTAAAGAATTTTAATATTGTATAATAAAAATAAAAATTACAAAGACAAATCAAAATTTTTTTTTGAGGATAAAAAAATTTTTTTGTTACATAAAATATTTTAGAAAAGTTTTTGTTATTGAGAGATAAAATATTTTTTTTTATGATACTTTACCATTATGAGGGATTATTATTGGTCTTTTGGAGGATTAGATTTTTTTTTTTTTGATTTAAAGAAGAAAATAAATATAAATAAACTAGAATAAAATATGTAGGGCAATGGTATGTTCAGGGGGGCGTATCCGTTTGCCTTGAAATGAGGCGCGTCGGGGGAGGTGGGTAGATACAGGGTGCTGGTTGCTGCTGCTGTCCCAGATCAATAATCAAGTCCTGAAACCAGTCAAACGTTGGATCCTTATGGAACTTTAATTTATTTTCAACTATTTTCATTCATCAAATTTGAGAATTTAAAAAAAAATAATTTTTTTTTAACAATACAATTTTCTCTAATTTTTAATTTTAGTTTAATTTTCTTTTTTGGTATAATTTTTTTTTAAATAAAATTTGTAATTTTTAAGATACTTTAATTTAATTTATTTATATAATTTTAATATTATCTAATTCTAATTTATGTAATTAGAGTTAATTTTGCTTCCTCGTTGATGAAGCATTGTAGTCCTTTCGTTTATAAAATTTTTAAACATGGTGAAAACAAATTTTCCTCTATATAGAAACATGTGTGTAACAGGTTTTAATGGATTTGGATAAAATTTGGTAGGCTTATTTATTACATTAATCTCTGCAAAATGAGGAGAGGATTTTTAAAAATACCAAAAAAAAATTTTATCGTCTTTTTTCTAAAAATTTTTTTTTAATTGAAAAAAATTTAAAATAGAAAAATTTAAGGTAACATATATAATGTATTCGTCTTCTTTACATCAAGACGAATCAATTGGTATATATAAAATATAGATTTGATTTAAATTTTAAGAATTAATAAAAATTTGAAAAATCAAAAATTCATGTTTTAGCTAAAAAATTTAGTGTTTTTTTAAATTCAAGTTAATACATAAAATAATTGAATTCCTTGCATTGAAATAAATCGATTCGTATATATAAAGTATATGTTACACCCAAAAAGAATTAAAATTTTCTTAACTTTTAAAAAAATTTAATTAATTTAAATAAGTTTTTAACTCAAAATGTTTTAAATCAATTAATTGATTATAGAAATTCATATAGCTTCCACCACGAGGAAGCAAATTTTTTGATTCACACAATGAGGAAGCAAAATGTTTATAAAATAAACATAAAGGACCCCCTCCTTGTTTTAATTTCATATATTTATTTAAATTTCTAATAATAAATATCTAATTTGATTAATTTTAGAATATTTTTAATTCCTAGTTTTCTAATTTTATTTATTTAATAATAATTAACTAATTTAAATTGTTTAAATTTATTTAATAATTAACTTACCACTGTTGACTTAAAAATTTGAAATATTTCAAGGATATAAAATTGTGAATACAAAGCCTATATTGTAACATGATTTTATAAAATATGAAATATTTTGATAAGAAATTTTAGAAAAAAAAGGAGAAATTCACCGCGAGGAGGAGAACTTTTTTTTCTCTTTCATTTGTCAGACAATTATTTTGAAACTAGGTCAAAGAGTGTATCGTGTACATGAAATATATGTGTCCTTGGTATATGACAAGGGAACATCACTTACACAAAAATATATATGTAAATGTATTTAAAAAACAGAAGCTGAAGAAAGCTTTGAACGTTAAAGAGCAAAAAAAATTACACAAAAGAGGATAACGTTTTCTGTCATTTAGTAAACTACAAACAAAGTTCGCTCTTTTTGTAATATAAAAAAAAAAAAAAAAAAGTATCATTCAAAAGTCTTCTTTTACCATCTCTGCATAATAATGGATATACTATTACATAGAGAATCCATTAGATTTTAAATGTTAACAATATAAGAACAAAAGCATTTCTGATAAATATCAGGCTATTATATTATTTTTTTTTGCGTCTTTTTAAAAAAAAAAAAACATTTTTTTTTCTATATTTATTTAAGAATATTTTTTTTTTATTTTTACTCGATAAAACAATCAGAGAAATGTTTTATTTGAAGCGCAAATTTGATTTAAATAATCGTATATTTGTTTCAATGCCTACTATGCCAATTTATTTGGTGTAGATAAAAATTTTATTTGTTATAAATAAAATTTTTATTTAAATCAAATAAAATTCATTTGTAACAAGTAAATATTTATTTAAAGCAAATAAAAATTTATTTGACTATGAGACAAATATATCTTTTTATACAATTATTTTATTTATTGTTATTATTATTTCCCCTCTCAAAAAAATTATTACTTTTATTATTATTATTATTATTATTATTATTGTTAGTATGATTATTGTTATTATATTGGAGTTTACAGCTTTTGTAAAATGATTTGTATATTTTTTTTGTGAATATTTTTTTCTGATGAACTTTAAAGAGATTGTAAAATTTTATATATTTTTTTTTATTCATATGAGGAATAATAATTATCAATTATAAATATGTAATTTTAGGCACGAGGCCAGAGACATAGTTCGGCATGCTGTCGGGGCCGGTGAGCAGGATGCTGTCCTTTTCACGGGTCAAGGTACTGCAGGTGCATTGCGCACACTTTTACGCCATCTTGATCTCACAACACCCACTGTCGTCTTCGTTGGACCCTTTGAACATCATGGCAATTTAAGGCCCTGGCGAGAATATGGTGTTAAGGTACAAAATATATATATATATATATATATATATATATATATATATATATATATATATATATAAAAGTTTCATTGGTCCAGATAAATTGAAAACGAGAATTTCAATTAATAAAAATTTTTTTTATTTCTTTTTTTAAAACAAATTTTCCAAATTAAACATTCCCTTAAGGAAAATTGTAAAAAAAAAAAAAAAAATAGGGTCTAATAATGTTTTATATTGCAATAAATTTTTTTTTTTGTGTACGCAGATAATTCGAATTAAAGAGACAAGAGAGGGTTTTTTGGACCTCAATGATTTGGAGAGGAAATTGGAGTCAGAGAAAAAGGATAATTCAACGGCACGAATGATTGGTTACTTTAGTGCTGCAAGTTGCATAACAGGTGTTCTTGCTGATGACGTTGCAACGACTTTACTTCTTCGTCAGCATAAAGCACTTAGCATTTGGGATTACACTTCAGCTGGTTAGTTGACGATATCAAAATTATAATTTATTTTATATTATTTATATTGCACTAAAAAGGTAATGATTTAGCAAATTGTGATTATTATTTTTTTTTTTACTCAAAATTTGCTACAGTAAACATAAATATATTTGCTAGTGGAGGATAAAAATTATTTTTATAATTTTTATTATAAAATTTATTTTTATTCGAGTGACAAATTATATAGAGATGTAAAAAAAGGAGGGTAGGAAAAATTAGGGATTCCCCCAAGAGAGAGAGAGAGAGAGAGAGAGAGAGAGAGAGAAAGTAAGCTCTCAAGATATAAAGAAATTTATTTCGAGCAATAAGCCACAGAGACGAGTTTTAAATTCTTTTGGCAGTTGCAATTTTTTTTTTATATATACTTTGAAAATTACAATATATCTTATTTATTAATAATCCTTCTTTGTACGGAAATGACATTGGAAAGAGTAAACAGAATATTTGTAACGAGTTCAAAGAGCACTATTTTTCAACCTCGAGCAACGTTCATTCAAAATTTATACGTTCGCCAATTAAAAACAAATAAAGCAATAATGACTTAATAAATATTTATAAGGAATATTCCATTCATATTCCAAATATATATTGGGAAATATTTATAAGAAATATTTAAAATATTCTATTAGAACATTGGGAATAATAAAGAATATTTGGAATATTTAATTAAAATATTAAGAATAATAAAGAATATTTGGAATATTACATTAGAATATTTGGAATAATAAGGAATATTTGGAGTATTCCATTAGAATATTGGGAATAATAAGGAATATTTGGAGTATTTCATTAGAATATTGGGAATAATAAGGAATATTTGGAGTATTCCATTAGAATATTGGGAATAATAAGGAATATTTGGAATATTTCATTAGAATATTGGGAATAATAAGGAATATTTGGAGTATTCCATTAGAATATTGGGAATAATAAGGAATATTTGGAGTATTCCATTGGAATATTGGGAATAATAAGGAATATTTGGAGTATTCCATTAGAATATTGGGAATAATAGGGAATATTTGGAATATTTCATTAGAATATTGGGAATAATAAGGAATATTTGGAGTATTCCATTAGAATATTGGGAATAATAAGGAATATTTGGAGTATTCCATTGGAATATTGGGAATAATAAGGAATATTTGGAGTATTCCATTAGAATATTGGGAATAATAAGGAATATTTGAATTATTCCTCCAGAAATATTTAATTGTAATATTGAGAAATATTTATAAGGAATATTTAATAATATTGTTGGAATATTTTTAAGGAATATTCCATTCATATTGAAAGAATGTTAAAATGCCTTACCTTTGGTACGTTTCTTTTGGAATATTGATAATAATATTCCATTAGAATATTAAAAGACAATTCCAAAAAAACATGGTACTAATATTCATGTGGAATATTTCAAGAATATTATACCAAGAATATTCCATAATGGGACGTGCCAAGAATATTCATGTGGAATATTTAACAATTATATTCGAATTGAAAATATTCTATAATTATTTTAAATAATTTAATTTATTTTATTTAATGTTCTCCAAAAATAGTCATGAAATATTTATATATTTTTAATATATTTAATGGGAATATTATTAACATATTCCACAAGAATATTTTTATGGTTCAATGAAATTTTAAATATTCCAATGATTTTTTTTTAAATATTCCAAATAAATATTCTAGAGATGGAATATTTTAATATTCCCAATGTTTGGATGGAATATTCCTTTTGGAATATTACCAATTTTTCTGTGGAATATTTAGGAATATTCCTTTATTGTTCCTGGGGAATATTCTTTAGGAAATTTTTACCATTGTTCCAATAGATTATTCCTTAAGAATATTCTTCACGTTTCAATGGAATATTCTTTAGAAATATTCTTAACTTTCCAGTGGAATATTTTCAATTTTCTAATGAAATATTGGGAATATTGTCAATTTTTCAATGGAATATTCTTCAGCAATAAAATTACAATGTTCCAGGGAAATATTTTTTAAGATTATTCCCTCATCCCTTATGAAAATTCCTTATAAGAAAATAATGTTAAAGCTAAAATGTTTTCAGTGTAATATTTTTTGTATAATATTTTCGCGATTATAGGTAATTTTTTATAAGAAATTCATTATAAAAATTTTTTTCCCCAAATAATTATAAAAATATAATTATTAGAGACTCTGTAATGAAATCATTCCAATTTTATAATTATGAAAATGTAATTATAGAAAATAAAATTTTTCACGTGCAAAAATTAAAATATTATAAAATTAAAATTATAAAAATTTAATTACAAAAATTAATTAATTTTGTATTTTACTGATAACTATATGTAGTTTTGTAATATTGTATTTTACTGATAACTATATATAGTTATCAGTAAAATACAAAATTAATTAATTTTTGTAATTAAATTTTTATAATTTTAATTTTTGCACGTGAAAAATTTTATTTTCTGTAATTACATTTTCATAATTATAAAATTGTAATGATTTCATTACAGAGTCTCTAATAATTATATTTTTATAATTATTTGAGAAAAAAAAATGTTATAATGAATTTCTTATAAAAAATTACCTATAATCGCGAAAATATTATACAAAAAACATTATACTGAAAACATTTCAGCTTTAACATTATTTTCTTATAAGTAATTTTCATAAGGGATTGTTCAAGAAGAATATTCCTTAGGAATATTTCCTTATAATTCCAGTGGAATATTCCTTGGAAAAATTCCCTAATTGTTCCAGTAGAATATTTCTTAGAAATATTCCCAATGTTCTGGTAAAATGTTTCTTAGGAATATTTTCAATGTTTCATTGGAATATTGTTGAGTAATATTCCCGACGTTCCAAAGGAAAATTCTCAATGTTTCAATGGAATATTGTTGAGTAATATTCCCGACGTTCCAAAGGAAAATTCTCAATGTTTTAATGGAATATTATTGAGGAATATTCCTGACGCTTTAAAAAGAATATTTCAAATTTTCAAATGGAATATTCCAGGAATGTGAAAGGATTATTCCATTTTTGAATATAATAAAACAAAAAATTGAATAAAATTAATTTTTATATATTCGTAAATGAAAAAAAAAAAAAAAATTTCGATGCGCCTCGGGTATTAATTCTAAATCATAAATGCTTCTTATCTTTACATTTCTCTTTCAGCTCCAAACGTACGAATGGAAATGAATCCTCATCTCCCCGGGGTAGGTGAGACGGCCGTGCATAAGGATGCGATTATTTTTGCTGGCCATAAATTTATTGGAGGTGTACAATCGCCTGGAGTTCTCATAGTAAAACGATCACTCTTAAGGGAGGAATTTGAACATGAAGATATGCGCGATTCACATCGATATCTTCATGATCCAGAATTACGTGAAGAAAGTGGAACTGCCGGTGTTGTTGGGGCAATTCGTTGTGGTCTCGCTATGCAACTCAAGGAAAATGTCACTCCTCAAGCAATTGCTGCAAGACAAGATAAAATCTCCAGGTATAAAATATTGCCCTTCTTTTATAATATAATATTCTTATTTTTTTTCTATTTTTCAAATATTTGAAATTTTATCATTTATCAAAAATCCTCGAATCTGGAAATTGTAATTTTTTTCAGTCAGAATTTTTTTTTTTTTTTTTTTTTTTTACACGATTCCTTTGAATCTAAACAAAAAACCTTTTTTTGTACAGAATTCTAAAAGTATGATTTTTTTTTTAGCTAATTCGTAAAATTAATTCTAATTTAGAAAAATAGTGGAATTACTTATTTATTTTGTAAAAGTTGTGTCAATTTTGAATATTAAATATTGAAACGAATCTGATGGAAGAAGCAATAAACTTTAAGTTTTATATTTATAAAGAGATAGATTTTGTAGTTCAAGGTCAGAGGGTAAGTTAACGATCAAAGGATTCCCTAGAGAAAAATTTAGTTTCTTTTCACTTGGACAATTTGTTATATTTTTCTCTTATTATTATTTTTTTTGTTAGAGGAAGGGCTATTTATATATTTTTTTTTTTTTTGAAATGAGTATTAGAACTGTCCACATCTACTTTTTTCATTATATCATTTATCTCATTTCTTAAATATGCCCCTCCTCTCCTTTTTTTTTCTTAGTGATATAAGAAGAAGCAATTCCGGACTTTTATGTCGAGTGCAAGGTCACATTTTTAAGGGCGTGAACTTCACATTTTATATGTTCATGGTCATTTCCTTTTTTTACGACCGAAAAAAAATGAAATTTCTTTTTTTTTATCTTTGTCATTAATTTAGAAGATAAAAAAATTTTTTTATTTGCTTATAAAATTAATTTTACATTTATTATATTATTCATGTATTTTCAAAATAAAAGTTGTTTTAATTAAATTTTTTAATTTAAATTTTAAAAAATTTTAATTTTATTAAACTATTAATTAAATATAATTTATTAATTAAAGATATATTTTTAGTTATAGAAATACATGTATATATATAAAATATTGACAAATCGATTTAGATTCATTTATAGCATCACATATTCTTCTTCTTTTATATATTTTCTTATCATTTTTTTTTCTTATATATTCTATATTGTAAAAAAAAAATATCCAATAAGTGTGAGACATTCTAAATTTAAAATTACTGTTTGAGATTTTATCAAAGTCAAGGTCATATCTCTCGTAAAAATTATATATATTTTGTCGCGTCTTTCCACGTGTGCGCATATTTTATATATATATATGCCTTTCCTCTCGACTAGATTTTTTTTTTATGACAGAAAAATAGAACAAAATTTTTGACTTTGTCACACTTTTGCTAAAAATATATATATAATATAGTGAAAAATTGAGGGAAGGATCCAAGGAGCTATATATATATTTGAAATTCTCTTGATTAGAGGCGTAAAAAAGGAACTTAATGAAGTGAAAATTTAAGGTCGAGAAATTGCCAATGATTCCACTGACCCTGTGGGATTTAACGATGATGCTTTCGACTTTAATGATGTTAAATTACAACTGTGTGCGAATAGGCCGGGAGAAAAATATATATGTCGAAAGACTTTCTTATTGTCGATATTTTTTTTTTTTTTTTAATTAAAAAAAAAGCTTATTTCCTCCTTTCAAAAGGACCTTTATTTCTTCATGGAAATAGATTTAGATAAAAATTATATAATAAATATAGATAGTAAAATAAAATAGATAATCAAATTCAAATAATTATTTATCAATTTTAATTTTATTAAATTATTAAATTATTAATTGCGAATAATTAGTTGATTAATTAATAAATCAGACAAATTTAATGATCCAAAAGAAACCAATTAATTTCGAGAAAAATTTAAAAAAAAATGTACTATTTTAACAAATATTAAATGATAACAAAATGTCTTTATAATAGGAAATATATATATAATAAATAATGGAATGTGATTATTGATATCGTGATTTGTGAAAGTGAATTAAATTCCGTTTTTTTTTTGGTCTTCAAGATTCCATTAATTGAATAATTTTTTTTTTGCAAGCTCTCCGCACCTTTCGTTGGCTTATCTCTCGGAAGATATTCCATCTTGAGAGCTAATAAAGGTCGTTTATTTCCGCTGTCGTATAATTATGAGAACTTGTTTAGTTCTCGCGGTACTTTCGCTTTTATATATGCCGGCAAAAAGTAGTGATGTAAAATATAAGGAAATATTCATCAGACGTATTACTATTGAAAAAGATATTATAATTCCTCTTTTTTTTTCAACCGCACACTTCTGGTTTTTGAACTCTTTTCAATTCCCTCGATGAATATAATAATAAAATTATTATTGAAACAAGGAAGTTCCTTATTAATTTTTGAAAATTATTTCAATAAACAAAAATCTTATTATTAAATTATTTTCAATTTCAAATTTGTTTTATTATAAATATATTGTTTTGTTAATAAAATTATAATTTATTAATAAGTCTAATAATTTATCAAATATAATAATTTATTAACTAAAAAATGAGTTTTTAATAATTAAAAAAATTTTAATTTTTAAAATTTAGTTGGTTTTTTTATTTAAAAAAATTTTTTTGCAAAAAAATGATGTGTAATTTGGAAAATATATAAGTTAATTTGTTTTCTAACAGATGAATTGCAATAAATAAGAAAATATTGGAGTTTATGTAAAAGATATATACATGTATATTTATATTACTGCAATTTCTCATTTTCAGACAAGTTTTGGCTCACGTGAGAACGATTCCAGAACTAATATTACTTGGCAGCACGTCACAAAACGTAAAAAGATTGCCCATTTTTTCATTCATGGTCCGACATCCACGTGGTACATTTCTTCATCATAATTTTGTTTGTGCCGTTTTAAATGATGTTTTTGGGGTGCAAGCACGTGGTGGATGCGCTTGCGCGGGTCGATATGCTCACGACCTCATGGGAATAGATGAAAAACTTGCCAAGGAATATGAAGCCGTTCTTGAAAGGTAAATTTTACCCCCCCCCCAATTAAAAAATTTTTAATTTTTTTCCTTTGTACACTGAAACCTCTCTAAAAATTGGTATTTTTCTTATTTTTAACGAGGTTCCACTGTATTATTTTTATTTCAAATATTTTTCTCAATTTCCCCTAATTTTTAATTAATTAATATAATAATTAATATTAATAATAATTAATTATATTAACAATAATTAATTATATTAATTAATAATAATTAGTAATAATAATAATAATTAATTATAATATTTAATATTAATAACAGTAATTAATTCATAACTAATATTCCAGGTGTGCTAAGATATAAATTAATACTATTGGAATCATTTTTTAATTTTTTCCAAAATTACAGTGATACCTCTCTAACTGGATATTAAACTTTTAGGAATTTTTACTGATTTTTCCTTTAAAGAAAAAATAGTTTTACGTAATTAATATAAAAAAGTTGAAAAAAAAAATTTTTTTTTATTTAAATAAAAAATTAGAGGTTTTATGAACGTGGAAAAAAATGGATTTATGTATTTCGCTATTGCGGAGATATATACAGGAAACGCATAACCACGCGATGGTTATTGTATTTTTCGAAGAGTTGTATTACTCTAGCGGAAGTGCATAATAAAACACGCAACTCTGCTTCGATTGCGACTATATATGTTGTTTAAACATTTTGTATACAGAATCTTTACATGACGTTAGTTTATGAAAAAAAAATTGATTACCTCCATTCATTCTGAAAATAAAAAAATATTCTCTTTCCTTAAACGAAAAAGTCGTTTAAAAAAAAACAACTCAACGTCATATATATTTAATATTTATGACTTGCGTAATATTTCAATAATTAAAAAAAATATATATATATATAGGTATTCTAATTGAATTCTTTCGAAGATGATTTTCTAATGTTCACGAATTTTTATTTTTGTAAAATTCTTGAAAAAATATAATTAATTTTTTCTTGCTGATAAATTTTGTCGAGTCTCTTATAGATGTTTGCAAAATAGAAAAAAAAATTCATTTCATTCAAATAATTGGTTATTGAAATAAATATTTAAAAATAATTTTTGTAACACAAATAATTGAATTATTTGAATCAATAATTTTTGTATTTGAAAGAAATATCATTTAATTGACTCAAAAAATTATTTGGTTCAAGAAAATATTTATTTGATAATAAAATAACGGATTATTTGAATCAGAAAATTTTTTTTTTTCAGTGTATTATCGAATCAAAATAAATAAATTGATAAATATTTACTACAAAAATAATAAAAAATAATATTGAAGTTCATAAACCTAAACCGGTCTTTGTATGATAAATCTCATTTAAATGTAAATTTCTCTCTCTCTCTCTTTTAGTGGTGGTGATGACGTCAAAGAAGAATCGAACGCCGAAGCTCTTCGACCTGGTTTCGCTCGTTTATCCTTTCCTTATTTCATGTCCGAGGCGGAAGTTGCATTTGTCCTTGAGGCCTTAAAAATGGTTGCCACTGAAGGTTGGAAATTATTACCTCAATATGTTCTTAATCCTGATACTGGTGAATGGAGACATCATACAAATAGTGTTTTTAAAGAGAGAAAATGGCTTGGCGCCATAAGATACACAGATGGAAAAATGAATGCAACCGAGAGACGTGTCTCTGGTTCAGGTGTATTTCCTCAGAGTCATAGCGATTGCTTGCAGACTGCTAGAAATATTTTCAATAAGGCAAGAAAAATGGCTCAAAGATATCCATTACAAATTGATCATTCAGTAATTTTTAATGAAAAAGCCGAGAGTCTTCGTTGGTTTATATTGCCAAATGAGGCGCAGGATCTTCTTCTTGGAAATTCACAAAATGTCAAACAACACGTACCTTTCGATCCAACATTTTACAAGTGAGATGATAATAATAATAATAATTTTGTTTTTAATATTTCACGGTGCGCCAGAGAAGGAGGTTTAAATAAAAATGAATTGTCACTTAAAAATTCTTTTTGATTATGGTTCTAAAATGAATAAAAAACTTTTCTCAATAGGTTTTAAAATCAGCTTACATGCCCAATTTAAAACAAATTGAGTTTTAAATATTTAAAAATAGTGTTTTATGAGGAACCAGAATTTATTTAATGTATATAGATAATAGATGTTTTAGATTTAAGTTCATATAAATTTATTAACAATGAAATTTTCTTGTTTCGTTTTTATATTTATGCATTAAAAGTGTCGAACGGTATCTGAAATTCTTTGGCAAGAAGAGAGCTTTAATTATCGCTCTGAACGTGAAATAGTATTGATTTGAAAATACTTTTTTCTCGAAACACGAACACTTTTAACAAAATCAGCCAAAATCCTCATCTTATAAATTTCCTAAATCCAAAAGACTGTACGAATCCATAGAAAAACATGGTTACAAAACAAAAAGTAGAAAAGTAATCTAATAACAGCTGCGACTTTGTGCGCCCTGCATGCTGCTGCCATCTGACGGCGGCAGGAGGTAATGAACCCCTCATTATATTACTTTTCGTTTTGCAATCGTGTTTTTGTATGGATTCGTATAATCTTTCGGATTTAGGAAATTTATATAAGATAAGGATCTCTAGCTGCTTTTGTAAAAAGTGTCCGTCTTTCGAGAAGAAAGTATTTTAAAATCAATGTTTATCATTTTCACGTTTATTGCCGTTCAGGTTAAAGGTCTCTTCTTGCCAAAAAATTTCAGAGACCATTCGACTCTCTTAAATAAATTTTGTCACTCTTAAAATCGTTCTTTTAACATTATAATTTAATTTTTTAAAATTGGACACAAACACTACAGCAATATAATTATTTATATGTAAAATTGAAAAAAAGTAATTATTTTATCATTTATTACAGTATTTATTAGATTAAATAAATTCTGATTTCCCATAAAACACTGTTTTTATATAAAAACTCAATTTTATTTAAATCGGGCACGTAAACTGATTTTAAAAACTATTGAGAAATGTTTGTTATTCATCTAAGAATCATAATCAAAAAGAATTTTTAAGTGCCAATTCTATTTTTATTTAAACCACCTTCTGGCGCATTGTGATTTTTTTTAATAAGGTTTTTGACAATAATTTTTCGATTTTTTGATTTTTAGACTCGCTGGTCATGCATTTTTTGATACGACGCCAATTTCATCAGCCCCCTCGTACGTATCGAATGTATTCGCAATGAGAAGATTGAATAGCGATGTACCACGTTCGGGAAATCCACCAGTGTCACCAATTTCATTGAGGCATCGAAGTCTACCGGCATTGCCAAGCGATGGAAAAAATGGCAAATATAAACTTCGAATAAATGATGTTGACGATGATGATGTATTATTATCTTCGAAAAGTGGACAAAAATCACCGGCCACATGTCCGGGTTCACCAATGCCAAGTGTGAGATTCGCCGTTGGTGAAGTTGTTTCATCAGGAGCTGTTGGAATGTTAGGAACAACACCAACAGTCGCTAGATTAATAGCAAGTGAGCAAAATTTAGGTAGCGATACGACATATGTCGCAAGAACAAGATGCAATTCCCTGGGCAGTAGTAGTGGATGTCGATCAACGTCAGGTGGTAAAACATCACCTGTACCAATACCCCTGAGTCCACAAACATTGGCAAGTTTAGGAATTGCGAATAATACAATTTCACAATCGAGATTTCGTCATTGTAGCTGTAGTAGTCAAACTGATTTGAATAATGGATCATTTGATTCGGACGCTGCTGGTTCACCAAATAGATCATCATCATCTCTTGGTCATGTGCCAATTTATTCATGTTCGTCATCAATTGATTCAAATGTCATTAATGCATCGTCACGTCATGGTCGATCATCACCTGTACCATCGAATGTTAGTCAAAGTTCAGAGGATGATCTTCGTGCTTATCTTAAGGAAGTGACTAAGGAACTTGCCACTGAAATTAAATCCGAAATACGTGAAGTCATCTCAAAAGTTGATGATGTTCTCTCTGAAACTAATACTTGCGAGACAACGCCACAACATCAATCGAAACAACAACATCAACAACATGATTCATTTTCAGCTAGCGATATTGCTGAATATTTAATGGAATTTTCAAAGGAGATGGCCAGCGAAGTCAAATCAGAAATTAGATGTATGGTCAATTCTGTCGATGGACTTCATAGGTGAGAATTTTTATTTTTTATTTGTATTCCTAATTCCTAATGAAAAAAAAAAAAAATTTTCCCAGGTACTCACCAGACGATAGATCATCATCCGAATGTGCATCTCCAGCTGAAAGAAGACGAATTGTTTTGCCCACATCGACGCGTCCTCGAACACCGGTAATTTTGGGAAAACTTGGCGAACTCAGTCAACAGGATAGTAAAATGTCCAGTGAATGTTCATCCGACGAGACTGTGATATATGTTGTAAAATCAAATACTGGCGATGGTGAGAAAAATACCGACGAAGATGACATCGATGATGACGACGTTGATCATGAGGAACACAATGAACCTGAAAAAGCATTACCCAAAATCTATTCAGCAGTGAATTCGGTCAGTTCACAGGACAGTGGAATAAATCTTTCATTTCATGAGAACGATAAATCAGGTGAATCACCGGAAATTGGTCGTAGCAGTAGCGCTGAATCAAATTCCAATGGTTATTCAAGAAGACCACCACCACGTCTTACAATCAATACGGGAATAAATTTCACTAAACAAGTTCGATTAACAAATGATGATCTCTCTGAAGATGAAGAGGCATTTCTTCTTTCAGAAAGTTCAGGTCAAGAAGGTGAGGATGATTCAAAAACTGAAAATGGAATCAATACAGTGCAATCATTGTGGCATTGTTCACCGAAAAATGTTTGGAAACCAGTTGTTGCAGCAATGCAAGAATTTGAAATGATCAAGGACAACGATAGAGTTCTTGTTTGTTTATCATTGGGTGGACGTAATTCATTGGCGCTTGTTCATACTCTTCATCAATATCAATTTTATGTACGTTCAAAGGGAATTGATTTTGAAATTGGCGTTGCCGCTGTTGATGATACAAGATACGATCCACTTGAATCAATGTCCTATCTTAAGGCATTGGATGTACCCTATTTTTATGAGGAAATAATAAATTCCAATACTAGTCAGGAGAATAATGATGACGATGATTCTATATCAAATGGACCCTGTAATTTTTGTGATAGGTCAACACGTGGAAAACTCTATTCAGTTGCAAAGAAACATAATTACAATGTTCTTGCACTTGGACAAAATTTAGATGATTTAACTGAAGGTTTTCTTGCCACTGTTTTTCATAGTGGTAAATTAAGAACAATGAAAGCTCATTACAATATTCGCGAGCAAGAATTAAGAGTTATTAGACCATTTGTTTATGTCAGCGATAAAGCGTTGAGACAATTTTTCGAAAGCAAAAAACTTCCCCTTTTTCGTGAAGCTGGTAATGAAGATGCACTTCAGGTAAAAAAAAAATTCAATTAGCTTAGAAAATTTACAAAATTTTGAAATGAAAATGATTTTTTTTTTTTTTTTATTTCTAGAAACGACAACGAAATGAGGAACTGATCACACGTCATGAGCAATCTTATCCACGTTTATATTGGTCCCTACGATCTGCGTTGAGACCATTGATAGCGGCTAGAGTTCAAAGTAGCGATAATCAACAACAAATTAATCAGGAAAAAAAACGACAACAATTCAGAAGAACTAGAACAAATTCTTTTAATTCTTCACCAATAGTTAATACATCAAGAAGATCTGAGGATAGCGAGGAAACTGACGAAGAACCCATTGTTTGAGAATAATTATCATCATCTTCAAAAAAAAAAAAAATCAATGGAAATTCTACCGGTAAATTTATTCTTTATGATAAATTCATTGAAGAAAATAATTTTTCTCATATTTCTTTTTAATAGTTAATTCTTCAGAATTAATATCAGAATATTGAAAAATTAATAATTCATTTCAAAATAAACTAGAGTTCGAAAAATAATTCTTTTTAGAAAAAAGACTCTTATAGAAAATATTAAAAAAAGAAACAATTTTTTGTTTTTGAATTTCTTTTGAAGAATTAAATTTTCAAAAAAAAACTTTAAAAACCAAAAGGGATTTAGAGAAACAAATTTTTTAGATTAATTTTGAGAATTAGATTCTTTCAAGAAGATAATTTCAAAAATTGATATTTGATTTAATTTTTGCCAAATGGCTGAGAAAATTGACAATACTTATTTCATTTGAAAAATGAAAAAAAAAAAAATGCGAGGCACGCACAAACGCTCTCTCGATACTCGCTTCACGCATAAAATATAAATATATTTTGAACTCGTCGTCGTTGTCCTCGCTACATTCCGCTCGTTTTGAGTTGAAAAAGTGAAGCCATCATAAATTTTTTTATATAGAAGTACTTAATTCACTCATTATTATTATTACTTCACTAATTCATTTGATAATAAATAATAATCTTCATTTTTTTTACGACTGAGTAAAATTTGACCAGTGTCTTTTACATTAAAAATTAGTAAAAAAAAAAAAAAAATTATTGTGATAAACTTTTACTATTGAAGTGATATTAATTTTTCTTATTCGCATTGTTCTTTTTTTTATAATTTTATAATCTATTAATGTTAATGGGTTTGGGAAATTTAAAATATGATAAATAGATATCTATAAATTCTTTATATATATGAAAAGAAAATTAATTTTGGCGAAATTGATGGCACATGAATAACTTGTTCTAGATCATTTTTTTGTCGTCGTTTTTTTTTTTAAGACGAATCCTCATTCCATTGACTCATCTCTTTTTTTTTGGTTCGTTTAAAACAGACTGAGACACTTGAGGGTTCACCTGACTGAGATGTTGTATACTCAGAGGATAGTTTTTTTTTTAAAGTAATTTATATCGAAAAATTTTCAAAGAAATATTTTTTATGTCTTTTATTTTAAATTTTCAAGTAAAGAAAACTTTTTTTCTCTACAAAAATATTATTTTTTTCCAAACTTTGTTTTTGAGTGTACAACAAGTAGAACTTATTAATTGTTTATAGAGTGTGACAGGGAGTGTCGATTGTAGCAAAAACTCGGCAAAAAAAAAAAAAATTGGTCCATTTTGAGAATACGTGACCAAATAAAACAACACAAATTTACAACTATATATATATATGCTTTCTATACACTGCCGATTTTACGGTAGACAAAGACACTTTCTTTTTCTTGTATAATTTCAAAAAAAAAAAAAAAACAAAACAAAACCCAAAAAAGAAACAAACAAGTGATCTTTTTTTTCATAAATTCCAAATTGCGATACGTGTTCGATATTTTCCAAAGAGATTCGATATTTTTATACTCTGAAATAGCAAAACAAAAAAAAAAAAAAAACGAAACAGAGTTTTTACGGGGGAGGATTTTCTCAATTTTTCTTTTTGGAATAGAAATAAAATTTTGTACATATATGTAAATGATTTATTATTATATAGATTCGATAAAGAGATCAATTGTGAAATTTCTCATCCCCCATTCATGATAAAAAAAAAAGAAATGTGTAAGAGGAAAATTTTTTGACTTTGCAATATTGTTGCACTGCCATAATACCAAAAAAAAAAAAAAAAAAAAAATGTCTTAAAACACTGGACAAATCGGAAAATTTTTTCTGAAATTCTTATCTTTTTTATATATCTAACGATTATTTCTCCTTGTGATCATGGAATAATCGAACACGTTAGCATATTTTATATCACAAAAAAAATGTATGTTTGTAAGTATGATGTCAAATTTTGTATATTTATCTATACATATATATATATTACACACTCATGACGTTTACTCGAAAATACACCAAAATTTTTGTAATGAGTTTCGCTCCCCTTCTTTAAAAAAAAAATAGAGGAAACTTTTCAAAAATCTCGGGTTAAAATTACCCAAAGGAGAAGAAAAAAAAACCGAGGTTGACAAAAAAAATGTCCAGTAACGTTACTTTTCTTGTATATATAAAAAAAAATTTGTTAATAGAAAAGTATCGTTTATTTTGTCTGGACAATAAAAAAAAAAAACAAAAAAAAAAAAAACAAAAAGAAAACTAAACTTTGCTCAGAAGTCTCTGTATCTAGGAAAAAATTTTTTTTTTGTAGATTGTAGAATTAATTATATAGATGGTTAAAAAAAAATTTCCTGCTCTTTGTGCAAATTTTGTCAGGATATTATAGTTACGTCAAAGAACATGTATACTAGCTTGCCATCAATGTTGCATGTCTGTTGAAAAAAAAAATATATATATATATATATATATATAAGAAACATCGTAGAGGGTTACGAAAAAAAACACTGTATATATAATACTGTCTACTGATATTCTTATATAAAAAAAATTATTTTGACTTTTGATAAGTCAATTCAAAACTGTAAATGTCTACGTATTTATTATTGTGACCATATACTTATCTATATATTATGGTTTTTGACACTAAATGTAAATGAAGTCTGAGAAAGTTCTCAAACACCTGTTTTTGTTGCATAAATTTTTTTCAATTTTTGATTTGAAAAAAAAAAGGAAAACATTATTTTTTCTTTAACTTTATTTTTTTTCTCTTCACTTGCTTCTTTCTTTTCTCTACTTTTTATTGTTCTCTTCTTTTGAGGGACAAAAAATTATTTTCTTAATTCTACTCTTTAAGTAATTATTTTAAAATAAAAGTAAAAAAAAAAAAAAAAATTGAAAATGAATAAAAAGAATACAGTGAAAAAAATAAAGAAATAAGAAAAGAATGAAGCGAAGATATAAAAAAGAAAGTGAAAGAAAAATTTAAAAATAGACGAGTAAGGAAATAAAAATGATATACGATAAATAAGCAATAAAAGAAATAGATAAGTGAAAAAAATAATTTTAAAAAGGAATATCAAATATCCGAAAAAAAGTGAGAGATAAAATGAAAAAAAAAAGAAAGTAAAGCCCCGTATATTAAATAGTAATAATTTTATCGGGATCTATATATAAAAAAAAATATATAGAAAATAAGTGAATGTGAAAATGAATGGAAGATATTGAAAATATTTTTCAAAGATATTTGAGAAAATCGACAAATACTTATTATATCAGAGACTTGGATAAAAATTTCTCTTTTTGTTTGTTTGTTTTTTTTTTGTAAATAAATATAAAAAGTTTGCGGTATCCTGTATATGCGCGTAATTATTTAGTTTTAAAAGATTTTGGATTTTATAAAAAAAGAAAAGCGAATCTGCGATACTTGTCTCTTTTTTGTACAATGTACAAAAAATATTTTTAGGGTTGGGAGGGTGACACTATTTTTCACAAGCAAGGTACTCGATACTGCAAACAAATTTTTTTTTTTTTCTCGAGTATTTAGAGAATTATAAATCGAATAACGCTCTTGTATCCTCTTGAGAATACATTGCACACGTAGATTCAGCTTTATCGATTTTCGTTTAGTCTATAGGCATTGCAACTCTGTAATACTAATTAATGTTAAAAGGTTACTAAAGTCCTAAGTGATTGATTATATATTATATATATATTCCAGATCGAGCAAGAAACTTTAAAGGAACTGACAAATAATAATCCAATATATTTATCCCGATCACAATTTATTTGGAAAAAAAATTAATATTTTTTATTTAAAGAAGTATTTATTTTTTAAAATAGTATTGGATTTAATAATTTTTTTTAGTCTATAAAAAAATAAATTCATAAAATAAATTTCAAAATGTCAGTAAAAGTTTGTGAATCGTTAAAAAAATTGTATTGTGTAGTTTTCCCCTTCCATATATATATATATATATTATTGTTGAAGTGGAAAATATATTTTTAACTCGATCTGTGTGGCCATATATAGAGAATATTATAAGGCCGAACTGTACAATCAAAAAAGAAAAAAAAAATGAAAAAAAAACCGATATAAGATTTGGATATATAATTTTAAGTGGAAACATTTTTCATTCGAGTAACATGACGTTGAACAAAAAAAAATTCTTCAACTTAAAATAATAATAATAATAATAATTTATAGCCAGAATTATTCGGTATTTTTATAATAAAAGAAAAATAAATAAATTGTTGAATACGCCGTGTTGCTTGAATTTCTATTTCCAATAATAATATATAACTCTTTCAAAAAATGTTTTATTTGCGCAAAACAATTTTTGAAAGAGTTTTTTTTTCAATTATCTTCATAATACACAATATATAATTATCGCTGTTTTTTTTTTAATTTTTATGCCAGCATGATGTTATTTACGAAATGACGATGTGAAAAGAAGCAATTTTTTTTAGATGTTATATATGTAAAATAAGTTCTTTTTTTCTGAATGCGTAAACATTCGTTGAGAAAAACGAATGAGAAAATGACGAGATGAATGTGACATTTTTATGTAGAATTTTTTTTTTTTTTTTTTTTAATTAAAAATCTTAAAAATTTTTTTTTTTTATTCGTATTTATATATCGCAGATGGAGCGAATTGTTTTCGTATAACTGGATATATTATCTACGAATTATTATTATTAATTAATAGATCTTATATTTTCTGAGAGTTACAAGAGAGTATATTGTTATTGTAAAGTTATGTAAGTTTATTTATCGCTAATAAAAAAAAAATCTTAATAAAAATGTCCTGTTTGTTTTTTATTAGAAAACATTTCTCTTCATTTCTTTTAAAGAAACACTTTGTATTTTATTTCATTAACTAGCAAAATTAAACGCGCGCAAGCGCGCCAAATTGAGTATTTAATTGTTTGTTATAAAGAAATTAAAGATTAATATTATCAATAATAATTTAATTTATTAGAATATTATTACATATTAAATAATAATAATGAAAATTATATGTTTACAGGCCTCGGATTATACGACTTTTTTCCGACTTTTTTCAAAAATACGACTTTTATCGACTTATTTTAATAAAATGAGACATTTTTTTTTACATTTGAAAAAAAATGTAAATAAAATACATTTTTTAGTATAAAATGTAGATCTTCTTCAGATCTTCTTCAATTCAATTATTTAACAAATTTTGAACTAAAATGATTCTTCACTAAATTAATTATTTTTAATAATTTTAATGAAATACATCACAAATTCAATTATATCAAAATTATTTTTCAATTAAAATTTTTATGAAATTTAACAATTGTTTATAATTTAAAAAAAAATCATATAATAAAATTGAATTATTTTTTAAAAATTTCAATTCAAAATAAACTAAAATTCAATTATTACCCGAAATTTTAATTCAAAATCAATTAAAAATCCAATAATTATCCAAAATTTTCAATTTAAAATTTAGTTATTTACCAAGTTTTCAATTTAAAATGAAATAAAATTCAATTATTTTCTAAAATTTCTATTCAAAATTAATTATTCAAATTTTCAATCAAAAATGAACTTAAATTAAATTATTATCCAAAATTTCAATTAAAATTCAATTATTTCCCAAAATTTTCAATTCAAAATGAAATTAAATTCAATTATTTTCCAAATTTAAAATCAAATAAAATTTCATTATTCTCAAAAATTTGAATTCAAAATTAATTGAATTTTCAATAATTTGAACTTAAAAGCATCTCAAATTTAATTATTTCTAAAATTATCCATCGAAAACATTTTTTTTGAAATTTAATAATTTCAATTATAACTCTAAGGAAATTCAATTATTTTTAACTATTTTAATAATATTCTTTGAAAATTCAACTATCTGAAACCATTTTTCAATTAAAAATGATTTTCAAATTATTGTATTTTGTCCGCATTTTCTAATAAATTTTTAGTGAAATCATCTAAAATTTTAATTAAAAATCACTTAAAGTTTCAATTAATTTCAAAAATCTCAATTTTAAATCTTTGAAAATTCAATTAAATTTAAAAAATGTTTTCCAAAAATTGTTTGATAAATTATTTTTAGTTCTGTAAAATTTAATAATTGTTTGAAAATTAACAATATCTTTTGAAATTTAATTATTTCTAAAAATTTCAACTTTAACCCTTCGAAAAGGATTATTATTAAAAAAAAATTTTTTTATTTAAAAATCTGTAAAATTTTTTTGTTAAAATAAAAAACAAATCCACTTTTTTTTGGAATATAAATCGACTAAAACGACTTTTTTGTGTCTTTAAGTTGATTCTTGGCCTGTGTTTTTATAATTAATATTTAATAGGTATTCGTTGGCCCCTGGTACCTTAAAAATTAATTTTTAAAAATAAATTTTTTTCAAATTACTATCTTGTACGAAATTTCCTGGCGCATCTTTTTTCTCATCATAAATTTTTTGTATTTGTATACAATTTTTGAATCAATATACAACTTTAAAAAAAAATTTCGTTGGTAAACATTGTGTACTTCAGCTTCGTGAATTGAATTTTCGAATTTGGATTTTTAAAGAAACTTATTCCGAAATTTGGAAACAGAATTATACAATTTTGGCAAAAATGAGAAAAAGAATTGTCAAAATTTGACACGTCATAAGATTACTATTCAAAAAAACACGTGAAATCAGAAAAGGCCAACTTCAAGTTAGGACAGAAGGACAGACGGACAGACCAAGCATTTTATTATTATATATAATTTTAGTCATTGATTTTTTTTTTATAATGTAATTTTTAATTTTTAATATTGTGTTTCTTAAAATATTTGCAAACAAAATGTCATTCAGTTTTAGATTTTTAATTACAAAATATTATGAGATTCTTGTTGGTTGAAATAAGATTTCAAAATGAATGTAATTTTAAACGACAATTTTTATCTCCTTTTTCGTACATTTACGCGGGATGCTCGTTTTCAAGCCAATTAAATTCTATGTCAAGTGTGCATTTTTATTATTAGTTTTGCGTGCGCATCATTAAATAAAAATTATTATTATTGACATTTTTTTTAAAAAGAAAATGTTCACTTATTGGATAGTTATTTTTTAAAATGTTAATTCAAAGATTTTTAAATTGCGCATTCAATTGCTTTTTTTTATTGTTGAAATGTATTTTTATATCCTTAAATTAAACTCTTAATTACTGGTTCATAATATCAAGGGAATTATTTTCGAGATAAAGAGAATATTATCTTGGAAGAAGAAAAAAGGGAATTCTACTTTGAAGTAGAAGGATTACTTTGAAGTGATATTATTAATGGACTTAAAAGAAAAATATTCTTTCGATTTCAAGAAATGCTTTCGTTTTTTTAATTAGAGAGATATAAATATATAAAGAGCCTTATTTTTTTAATACAAAAAGAATATGTTTTTAATGGTAAAGGAGAATTTTTAATTTGAAGAAGTTTTTTTTCTTCTAATTCGCTAATTCTTTTAAATAGAAATTTATTTTTTTTTTAATATGGGGATGGGAAACATTCATTGAAAATTTTTTTTTGTCCGAAACATTTTTTTTCGAAGTCTATATGAAAAATAAGGAAATACGTATTTTTTTATTTTTTTATTTGATAAAAATGACATGGCATTACAATCTCTGATGACTGAAGAATTTTTTCCCCTATCTGCGAAAGTGGTATTTTTAGTCTTTAAATTATTATTTATAATTTTTTTAGTACGGCTCACAGAATTTAAGCATTTTTTCTACAAATATAACCTTTTTCCATTAACATTCATTTGTTTTTTTTTAATTTTCATAAAAAACATACTAAAAATCGTTGCGTCAAGCTTAAAAATTGTAAATAGTAATTTAAAAACTAAAAGTACCACTTTCGCAGATAGGTGAAAAAATTCTTCAGTCATCAGAGATTGTAATGCAAAAAAATTAAAAATCGAAAGTGTCTCTTTTTAGAAAACTCACTTTATAAGTTTAATTTCAACTTTTTTGTTGCTTCTGTTATAGGTACGTTATTTTTGAGCACATATTTGAAAAATTTGAGAAAAAATAAACAAATTTCATATATAGCATAATTTTTAATTTATTAGTACAATAGATTAAAAAATGTTCCAAAAACACACTTTCTTCGTTGACGTTAAATTTCATCAAATAAAATAATAAAAAAAAATAAAAAAATACGTATTTCCTTATTTTTCATATAGATTTCGAAAAAAAATGTTTCGGAAAAAAAAAAAAATTTTCAATGAAAATTTCCCATAGAATGCCCCATATAAAGAAAGTAGTAAATAAAATTTTTTTCCTAAAAAGGAGATTTAAAGGGTAATATTACAAAATAGAAAAATGTCACCGTAAGAACAAGAATAATTATTTTTTTTATTATTGATTTTATTGAATTTTTAAAATAGATATATTTATTTATATTTATATTTATATTTATTTATATATAATATAGAACAGCGCAAATAGTTTCGTTATTTTTAGCGTATATTATAATATGTTAAATATCATAAGGTACTCAAGACGCGACCAGGATATCAAATCGGTTCGAAGAATAATATTGTTGCCGAATATTCGGTCGATTTCATAATTAAGCATGAAATATACTGACATCTGGCAAATATATATATATAATATAGAAATGTAAATTATCTAATTTATTTTTATATAATATATTTTATTTTTTGATACTTTATTGTTTTTTTTTTTTTTTTTGTTTTTTGCTTTTATTTTTCATTAACGCTCTTATACACACGTTTCGAGCGAAAGCCACAAAAAAGCAGCGATATTTTTTGACAAAATTTTGTCGTTCATCATTAAAAATTTATTTCGTCTTCTTATACATATATATCTATATAATTATGCATATTTTACAAGTCAGAGTTGATTATTTCACATATACACATTGTTCATAATGATCGTTATTTTTAATGAAGCTTACGTTCTCATTTTTTTAATGTTAAAAAAAATTGTCTAAAAGAAATTTTTTTTTTTTTTTTAAAGTGAAGATCAACTCTGGCGAGTATTTTTTTTTATAAAGGGTAAATATATGTAATTTGCGGTGAAATGAAAGTTGGCCTCATGTGGAATTTAACGATTTTTCGCATTCATAAACTCATTCGACTTATTTAAAAATATCTACGCACAGTGAGATGATTAACACGGTTAAAATTTGCTTTGTTATACAACACGCGAGCGTGCATGATTGTCAAAAGTAACTTTTTTTTTTTTTCAAATACAGCATCTCTAAGTAGGATTTGCATATGTCAACAATCATGCTGATTATTATAAATTACAATTTGCTTGTTTTTAATGCTAAACAATTCACTCATCATACATTTTCTTAATCATATATTGTGAAAAATTAGTTTTGTACAATGAAAACAAAAATTTATTTGTTTTAAATAATAATTATTTATTTGAGTCAATAAAAATGGTAATTGTTTCAAATATATAAAAAAAAATTATTAATCTCAAATTTATTGAATTCAAATAAAAATTATTTTCGTTCAAGTATAAATATTAATTTGATAATAGTCGTTATTTGAATCAAATAAATTTTTTCTTTCAGTGTAGCAATTCACAAAATTATAGTGTGTGCATCATTGAAATAATAATTAAAGTAATAATTTTATTTTATTATAGTTTAAAAAAAAAATGAAAATAAAATAGGAGGAGAAAAAATAAAATTATGTAAAATAAGAATAAAATAAAAAAGAATAAAGATTATGGAGAAAATGAAGAATAATAATATTAATAAAATAAATAAGCTCCCCAAGGATTTTGCATGAAAGTACTTTAATATTATTATTTTTAAAAAAATTTTAATTTCACATTTTAAATACATGAAAAATATTTTAATTACACAATTTTGTCTATATTCTTACCCCTTTGATAATTTGTGCGATTTCGTATTAGTTTTATAAATGAAATACATTATATTTATTTAAAGATCAAAAAAGTACGTGTTAGAATCTGATTAAATAAAATTATTTATTTCTATATTCAATATATATATATATATATATATATATATATATATATATATATATATATATATATATATATGTAATTATTAGTATATTTAGATGAATATTTATAATTGTTTTAAAAAATTCTTTCTATCTAAAATTGTTTTATAATTCATTAAATATTAATCTAATTACTAGAGAAACATTTATTTTTATTAGAATAGAAAAAAAATGTTTGAAGATATTTGCTATTAGATTTTTTTTTTTGAGAATGATTTTAAAAAATATAAATTGCACATCATTACCGATATGATGCCGCTATGAGTTATGTAAATGAAATATACAGGAAAGTTAACTAGCGAATATTAAAAATGATGAACATACTTTGAAGATATGCGCAAGCTGTTCAAACACTGAAATACATCAGTTTGCATTGCTCCTTTGGGAAATATATATCGCGTAAGGTATATAATAACCCTGGAGAATTTAGAGAGCTAACGAAATTCCAGATATTCTATGCGGTATATGCTTATTTTATCCATAGTTACAATGTTCTGTAAATATTTATATATCGAAATTTTAATAACTCAATTATATATATATATAAGAAAAAATTTTACATACGAAAGGAAAAACGATTTTTCTCAAAAGCGAAATAAATTTTTATTTGTTTCAAATAAATATTTATTTTGTTGCAAATAAATTTTTATTTGATTTAAATAAAAGTTTTCTATTTATGACAAATAAAATTTTTATTTTAAATAAATTAAAATTTGATTAAATTAATATTTTAATTTTAAGTAATGAAAATTTTTTATATATTACAAATAAAATTTTATATATATATATATTCACATTTTTTCGAATTAGAATTAGAAATTAAAAATTGGAATTAAAATTAGAAATTAAAATTAGAAATTAATTAAATATAATTTGAAATCCAAATTTTTATCTATTTTTTGTTTTATGAAGAATTTAATTTAAATTAATTACTTTAATTAATTAATTTCGAGGGGGAATTTACTCAGGTAAACAAGTGTACACTCTTCCTGTAATACTTGTGTAATAACGTGTAATACCGTGTAATAATGCGTTATTACGGTGCTGTAATTAATTTAATTTAATTTTTGCTAGAACAAAATCGAAAGATTTGCTTTATTTATATTATCATCAGTGTTTTTGAAGCAGATTTTTTATCCAAATATTCGACAATTTTCTATTGATATATATCTATATATTAGTGAAATGGGAAAATTCGAAAAAGTTTTTTTTTTATATTTATATAATAGAGGATAATTACAATAATTTCTATAATTATTTTTCGAGATTTTTGAAAAAGCAGTCTATCGCACTGTCCGCTTTTGAAAAAATTTTTTTTTTTAAATGTTATTTAACTATCTACTATTACACGAGATGAGAGCGAAATCTTTTTTTTTTTTTTTTCTTTTTTTTTTTGTTAATAGACGAAATTGCAGATATGTCATTTAAAGTGTATATATAAAGTCAAAAGTTTAAAAGTCAACCACCAGCAAAGATATAGATCTTAAAGTTGCCGGTGGTCCATTTTCTTTAATCTTGTTCGTCAGCTCATTGACACACGTCGAGTAAACTTATCAGCGTTTCTCCTCAACATAATGTAATAAACTTGAAAAAAAAAATTGCATTAACATACTTTTTTCAGTCCATTATTTTTCATGATCTCGCTATTTTTGAAATTTTTTTTTTTATTTCGAAAGATTTTTAAAAGTCTCAACAATCACAGTTTGGAAAATTAAAAAAATTTGAAAAAAAAATTGAAAAAAAATTTCATTAATTAATTTTTTTGAATTTGTTAATAAAAAATGAATTTTTCATTTATCAAATGGAATTAGATTTTATTTATTTATTTATTTTGTTTTGAATTTGTTTGTTAAAATTAAATTTTCGAAAATAAGTTTCTTTTTGTGAACAAAAAAATTTTTTAATATTTAATAATGTGGAAAGAAATATTGAAAAACATAATCTACGTTATTCGCAATAATTCTTGGCTTTTTTTTTATTTTATGATATCGATGTTTTAAATCTCGAGATTTTCATCACATGCACACCTATAACGGATCTCTAAACCCCATAATAGCTCCACGTATACAGGTGGCAAAGGGAGAACATACTTTTCTTTTTCTTATACTTTTTTTTTTTTTTTTTTTTTTTTTTTTTTTTTTTTTTTTTTTTTTTCCTTTCAAACCACAGTAGCGACTCTGTCGTAAAGCTCGTAATATAAATCTTATGGAACGTTGAACGTGTATTTAGAAAGACGCATCGAAGCACATTCGATAATTTATAGGAAAACGTCTCTTACATCTCCTGAAGAAACTTATTTGCTTTTTCCTTTCAACTCGCGAACTTTACTTTCTCTTTGAGCCAAACTCGATTATGTTTCTAGAGGAAATTGATAATTTCACCATCCCACCACATATATGTGGAAATATAGTTTTTTTCCCCCAATATAAATAATACCAAATTTTTATACATTGAATTAAAATTTTTTTTTATATAGATAACAATTTCTATTTTTTTTCTTTTTTTAATAAAAAAAAGAAGTTTAAATTAAAAAAATTTTTTTTTTTTATTAAAATAATCAAAATAGAATAATTATTTTTATTAGATGAAATTTTAAAACTGTGATTGTTGAATTTGTAATTGATAAAAAAAATGAAAAACGATTGCGAAAAATTGTTAATTTGAGAAATTAATTTTAAAAAAAAGAAAATTTGATAAATATTTAAAAATGAAAAATAAGACATTTTTTTGTGTGTAAAATTTGAGTCACTTTTGAAATTTAGATGGACTTGAAGAGGATAATAATCAATAGTTTTGTGATCTTCAAAAAGTGGGTGATTGAGGATCCTCTTCCTCATCCTCCTCGTCCTCATCTATTCCTGGCTCGCCTAAGGCGTGTGCAAATTCTGAAACAGATATTTGATTTTTACTTTTCAACGATTTCTTCATATATATATAAATATACTATATGCTATCATATAAATAAAATAAGAATGGAAACAATAACGAACTCAAAAGAACGTACGATGTACTTTTGATTTTACATATAAAAGATTTTCCTCATGTAAAGAATAAAGTAATATATTTAACTTGAATTTAAATCCTTTGGCTTCTTTATATATATATATATATATATATATTTTAACCAAAAAAAGAAGAGACGTTATTAATTTTTAATCTTATAATATCTTAAAGAAAAATCTTTGGTTATTCTTTGTTACTTCTAAGGAGAAAAATCACAGAAATTTTTGATTCTTTTTTATTATGTATCGTCATATATGGTAAATTAATTTTTTTTTTCACAAAGAGTTTTTTTTTCCTCTTACTTTTTTAATCTTTATTTAAAAAGAAATTGATTTTATGAAAAGAGATAATAGAGATTTAGTAAAATTAATATCAATAATGGATTGGCTTGATAAATATATTATAATCATTTCCTGAAAAAATAGTGGTAAGAAATAATAATTAAGTTAGACATGAAACAAAACTACTTTTTGAATTATTTTGTAGAATATAATAAAAGTATGTGATTTTTTTAAGTAACAATAAATTTTATACCAATATAAGTAGTTTAAATAAATTTTGGTCAGACATAGTATATAGTAAAATTCATTTAACCAAAAAAAAGAAACACAATTGTGTTATTTGAAACAAAATTTTATTTGTTGTCTGTTAATAAAAAAAGATTTTACTACTGATAAATTAATAATTAGTAGTAAGAAGCAAATTTAGTCAGACAAGTGTGTTTATTTTTAAAGAATATAATTACTGTTATGGTCTAAAAATGACAATTTTTTTTTGTTTTTAAGTAGTATAACCAATCTTTAGTCAGATATCAATTAAAAATCGTATCTTTTTAGAAAGTCAATTAGGTTTTATATTGTTTTTTGATAAAAATTCTAAAAATGACAAATATTTTGCTTTTAAGTAGTAAAACCAATTTCTAGTCAGACATAAAAAAAATTGTTTTTAATTTTAAAAAAGTCGATTATGCTTTAATATTGTTTTATGTCAAAAACTCCAAAAATTACAGTTTTGTTATTTTTAAGTAGTATAACCAATGTTTAGTCAGATAGCAATTAAAAATCGTTTTTTATTAAAAAATCGATTAGATTTCCTTACATAATCTTTTTAGGTAAAAATTAAATACTGGTATTTTTTTCATTCTTAAATAGTAAAACCAATTTTTAGTCAGACATGAAGTAAAAATTGTCTGTTTTCTAAAAAGTATATTGAATTGCATTAGCCCTGTATGTGATAAAAATTTCAAAAATGAAAATTTCGATGTCTTTAAGTAGTAAAACCAATCTTTAGTCAGACAGCAATTGAAAGTCTTTTTTTATTAAAAAGTTAATTAGGTTTTATATTGTTTGTAGTAAAAATTATAAAAATGACAATTTTTTTATTTTTAAGTAGTAAATCCAATGTTTAGTCAGACATCAATTAAAAATTGTATTTAATTATAAAATGTCGATTATGCTTTAATATTTTTTTATAGGACCAAAAACTCAAAAAATTACATTTTTGTTATTTTTAAGTTTTTTATAACCAAATATCTTTTTTTTTAAATAGTTGATTAGGTTTTATATTGTTTGTAGTTAAGAATTATAAAAATGCCTTTTTTTGTTTTTAAGTAGTAAAACCAATTTTTAGTCAGACGTCGCAATTAAATTTTAATTTATTAAGTTTCGTTCTTTATTTTTTAAGTAGTATAACCAATGTTTAGTCAGAGATCAATTAAAAATCGTCTATTATTAAAAAGTTGATTAGGTTTTTTTTTATTGTTTTGTGGTAAAAATTCTAAAAATGATAATTTTTTGTTTTTAAGTAGTATGACCAATGTTTTTGTTAGACAGCAATTAAAAATCGTTTTTTATTAAAAAGTCGATTAGATTTCCTTGTATAATCTTTTTAGGTAAAAATTAAATACTGGTATTTTTTTCATTCTTAAATAGTAAAACCAATTTTTAGTCAGACATGTAGTAAAAATTGTCTGTTTTTTAAAAAGTTTATTATGTTGTATTAACTTTTTGTGATAGAAATTTCAAAAAAGGAAATTTCGTTGTTTTTAAGTAGTAAAATCAATGTTTAGTCGGACAGCAATTGAAAATTGTTTCTAATTTTTTAAAGTTTATTAAATTTTTATATTGTTTGTAGTTAAAAATTCTAAAAATGCCAATTTTTATTTGTTTTTAAATAGTAAAACCAATTTTTAGTCAGACATTAATTCAAAATTGTTTCTTTTTTATTTTTTAAGTAGTATAACAAATGTCTAGTCAGACATGAAGTAAAAATTGTCTGTTTTGTTTTTACGTGAAAAGAATATTATAATAGTTGTGGAAAAAATCAAGAATCAATAGTAGAAGACTTTCATGGTCAGACATTTAGTAAAAGAAAAAAAAAATCGAAACTATGAAGGTCAATGTGAAATACTTGACGAAGAAAATTTCTATAGAATCCAAAGTGTATTCTAATCTACCCCTAAAGTAGAGGTCTAAGATGCGAGGTAAATGTCCTCGTTCTATTGCCTATCTTTTTTCTCTCCCTCTCTCTTCTCTCTCTCTCTCTCTCTCTCTCTCTCTCTCTCTGTCTCGTTTAAAGGCGCCCTTGAAGAAAAATGTTCCTTTTATTGAAGATGCCAAGGCTCTTCACAGACAAGGTTATCTTTCACAATTACCATTCGAAAGAGAAAACGATATGCACTCTTGATTTTGTTTTCATGATCATTTTTTTTTCTGAATGAACAATGTGACACTAAATACCATATTTTGACATTTCAAAATTTGTTTCCCAAAAAAAAGAAGATAAAGAAAAAGAAAGACTCTTTTGTGTCAAGGTTATTTGCATTCTTTTATTGACCTTAAAGAAAATTTTTATTTTTGAAAAAAGAAATTAAAAAAAAAAATTTTTTCATTTTTTTAAAAATTTCTTTAAGAAATTTTCTTTTTTCAAAAATAAAATTTTCTTATTTCATATAAGTAAATGGGGTGAATTTTTTTATCTTTTATTTTTAAAATTATATATATACCGATACGCGAGTATAAAAAAAAACAGACGAGAAGAGGGATAAAAATTTCTTACCGTAAAAGTCGATACGACCGTCGCCATCAACGTCTACCTCTTTTATCATGTCTTCGACTGAAAAGAGTTGTAAAATTAGCATATAATTTAAAAATACAAAACATGTACAATGCTAAAACAAAGCATAATACAGATTTTAATTAATACCTAATTTATATTATATTTTATAGCACAAAAAAGAAAAGAAAAAAAAGAAAAATAAAAAGAAAGTTTTTCCACTATAAAAAATTGAAACTAAGTTTATAATTTTAGTTTCTTGCAATGAAAAAAAATGTATAATTTTTTTTTTAGAAAATATATTGTTAAATAAATTATTTAATAGAATTTTCAAAATTTCTAATGTTATGAAATAAAATTTAAAAAAAAATTAGTTTTTTCCTGTACAGAAAATTAGTTTTTAATTTAAAGTTTATAATTTTATTTTATTATACATAAAATTTTTGTTTAGCGTTTTATTAGTTTATTATATTAAAATATATATTTTGCTAAATAGATTATTTAATCGAATCACAAAAATCCCTAACAAAATAAACTTGGATATATTAAAAATTGAATTTAAGATATAATACAGAAAAAAAATGATATTTCTATATTTTTCCCTACAAATTTCCGGTGTATACACTTAATTGCAATTATCACTTTCAGTTTGAATTCGGTGCAAAAGTAATTAAATTATGGAAATTTTCGAGTTTCTCTCACTCTCATTTCTTCTTTTCTCTTTTTAAAATGCACGAAACGCAGTTGGTCAAAACCCTTAATCAGAAAGTATTTGAAAGACTTTCTTTCGATTGACTTAACGAATTTTCGATGATAGAACTTAGTGACTGTTAAGGTTAGTTCTGAATGCAGTTTCTCCCCTACCCCTTCCCCTCTTGTCTTCAACCCTATTCTCCTTAATCCTGATTAATTCCAATCACGAACATCCTTCTAGGAAGTGCTTCGCGTCTTACGAACTCTAAACGGCTACCTATATATATATAAGATTGTTAAAAAAAAACCACGATGTGTTCTCAATTATTTCTCAGCGAGAAATTTATTGCCACGTGGTACAAAATGAATGTGACGCATGGTGCATCCTGATATACTACTTTGTGGGGAGAAAGAGAAAAAAAAAGAGTTTTCTTTTAACGAAAATGCCAAACTAAGATAAAATGATTGTAATTTTCTTTTTCATCGATATTTATTACTATTTTCTAATTAGCAGTTTTCATAAAAAATTTTTTAATAAATCAAAATTTTATTTAGAAATAAAATTTAATTAAATTATTATTTTTTCTTTTTTTTTTTGCCTATGAAAAGAGAATTTAGTTTTTTTTACTGTTTATTTTATTCGCGTTTAATTAATTTACTTGTGCAGAAGAATTTCATAAAAATGTGTGTCCATATAGTCACAAAAGATTTTGTGCAAGAGAAAAAAAAAAAAAAAAAAAAAGTGTACGAGTTCTCCTATCTTGTTAAAGGCATTGCAAACTGTCAATAGAACTTTTTAAATTTCAAATAATTCATTATATTGCCTAGCTTTAACAAAAGTAAATGAATTTAAATTAATAAAAGATTCTCTGTTTCTCTATCTCTCTTTTTTCTGTGTGAATAAAATCTTTAAAATTTTATCAATTTACTGCAGCAATAAATAAAAAATTAATTCACAAGGGTAATTTATTTATTTTTTTAAATTAATTTTTCGACAAAATCAATTAGAACTACCTATTTAAATTTAAATATAATTTTATTTGAATAAAATAAATAAAAATTATATCACATGATAATTTATTTTTAAAAAATTAATTTTTTGACAAATTATATCAATAGAACTAGGGTCAGTTGGGGTAAATGGGGACAAAATCGTTATTTTTCACAAATAACGTAATTTTTTTCATTTAAATGGTATAATATTTGCGGGTTTATATTTTTTTAAGTTGTTATTTACGTTCCCAGGATTAATTTTATGCAGCAGAACAAAATTTAGATAAGCTTTAAACGCATGAAACTGACTGTCACCATTTACCCCAAAATTTAGAAAATTTCATAAAATTTGGGGTAAATGGGGACAGCATAGTTTCTAAAAATGTTTTAAGAAAAAAGTTTCCTAATGTATATTACTGTATTAAGGGATGAAAAAATTTAAAAAAAATTTGTATAATAGTTGAACCAATTAATTTAAAAATTTTTTTTTTTATTTCAGTTATTTGTCTCGCATTTGAAAAAAAAACAGACTTAAAAATCATACCAAATTTTTTTCTTATTCCTTATGTGACTCCCATAACATAAATTCACTTGAATTTTTGATTTTTGTTAATTTGGTTAATAATGACAAGCTGTCCCCATTTATCCCAAAAATTTGAAAACTCAGAGTAAATGGGGACAGCTTGTCATTATTAACCAAATTGACAAAGATAAAAAATTCAAGTGAATTTCTGTTATAGGAGTCATAAGAAATAAGAAAAAAATTTGGTATTATTTTTAAGTCTGTTTTTTTTCAAATGCGAGACAAAATATTGAAACAGTTTGACTTTGATTTTTAAGTTTTTATGCATTGAGCGATAACTTTTGAACTTCATTTTAAAACTGTAAATTAAGCTTTAAAACCTCTTGTCCCCATTTACCCCCTGTCCCCATTTACCCCAATCCTATTTAAATTCATTAAAAATAAATTAGTATAATTAATTTACTATAAATTTGAAAATTTTTACATAAAAAAATTTTTAATTCATTATTATCTAGTTTAAACAAAAATAAATGAATTTAAATTATTATTTATTAATTAATTTATTATTAAAAAAACTAATTTAAAAATGTTTAATTAATTTAAAAAGAAAATAAAATAGATCATTTAAAAACTGAATAAAAATGGTTTCTTTTCTAAGTAATAAAACTTTTATGAAAATTAGCAAATGTTAAAATGGAAATAAATATTTTTTCGGTGAAGTTTGTTTTTTTTTTCCTTTTTTTGGGGGGGAAGAAACTGTAGTGATTGCATTAAATGGAAGCTCTTTTGCTTTTGTTAAAACGAATTGTCAGACGTTAAGTAGAAAGTGCTTTTGAAAGTGTTAAGGTAAGATCAGTCTGAAGAACAAGGTTAAAAATGCAAACTCAGTATATCTAAAGTTTTTCAAAGAAAGCTTCGCGATACGTGCTCGTGCTGACAGCAGGCTTAAAGACCACGAGTTAGTAACTTTTTTTCTTTTTTTCTTTTTTAAGGATCAACTAGTAGTCCTGAAACTTTGATATCAGAAGTTCAAAGAAACGACATTAAGCCATGTTGAGTACCTTTCTCAACTGGAATAATATGCGTCTGTCTATTTTTTCTTTTTTTTGTTAAAAATCTTATATTTTATTTAAACCTAATTTCCAAATTATATTTTGAAAAAAAAAATTTTTTTTCTCTATCTTCAAATTTTTGAATATTAATTTTTATTAACTAATAATAATAATAATAATAATAATAATAATAATAATAATAATAATAATAATAATAATAATAATAATATTACTAATATATTATGTTATTATTATTATAATAATAATTAATATTATTTTTTCCCAAAATTGAGTGGCAAATTTTTATATTAAGATGTAATTTTTAAAATTGATAGAACGAAAATTTTTCATTGTGAAATAAAATGATTATATTATGAAAGTCTAATAAATTTTTGTCGTCGTTGCATATGAGCGAAGGTTTCGCATTGAAAGAGTATTGGGTCAAAAAGTAAGCCGGATGTAAAGCATCTGTGGAACATTTGGTGTCGCGACCCCGTTTCCGTTGTAAATTATCGACTCTCGCTAAACGTCCCTTATATCTGAATACTATGGTACACCGCATAAGTAGTGATCGATTTTTTTTACGATTTTATACATGAATATATAAATAAAAAAAAAATAAAATAAAAAATACATTCGAAATAAAGTAAAAATAAAATTTAATAGAAGGAATGAAGAATTTCAATCATTATTGTTATAATAATTAAATTAATATAAATAAAATTCAATAGTGAAACATCCTTTTTTGGTCAGACAGCGTTAGAAAGTTCAAAGTATATGGAAAATTATGTAAAAAAATTATTTTCAATAATAAATTTTTTTTTTAAAATCTATGTCAATTAAAATATTTATTTGTAAGTAGAAAAAATTATTTTAGTCAGACAAAATAAACAGAATTCGGTTGTATTAATTTGTAAAAAAAAATTGATAGAAAATGATTTAAAATTCACTGTATAATGATTAATTACTTTAACAAATAATTTTCAAGTAGTAAAACCCAATTTTGGTCAGACAATGTTAGAAAGTTTTCATTATATATAGTGAAATAGGATGTAAAAAAAGCTGAAATCATTTTTAATGGATAATAAAATAAAAACATGTTAAACAATTAAAGTGGGCGATGAGTAGTAAAACCCAGCTATGGTCAGACAATAATCATAAATTTTACGATTTGGTATGAAAAATTTGAAATAAATTCCAAGTAAATATAAAATCTACATTTGCCTAATTGAAAAATAAACCGTAAAAACCGTTTTTTTGTCAGACAAGAAGTTTTTATGTTAAAGAAAAATGTTGTTTAATTCTAATACTTATAAAATCTAAATAAACAAAACAAATAAATTAATTAATATATAAAAATATATAAAAAAAGTACCTTGAAAATATATGTATAAATAAAAGTAAATAAAAATAAAAAAAAATAAAAATATATATAGAAAAAATATATGTAATTATTTTTAGATTAAAATATGAAATATTTACTGACTTTCTTCTTCGGAAAGATCCTCGCCTAAACATTGTAAAACGGCTCGGAGATCAGATGCTGTGATGTACCCTCTATTGTGTTTGTCAAACACCTGAAACACGAATACAAATGGAATTTTCAAGTTAAAAGCAAAACATGTCATGAAATTTCTCTAAATTGCTTCGGTGGTTTGGGGGGGGGGGTGTGTGGGTGAGGGGCTCTACTCTAAATGGATCGACTGCAATCTGATCGCGTCGAATAATCTTTGTAATTATTCAAGCTGAGATTTTAATGTAAAGTGCTGTGTGAAGGGAGCAATTAATCGTCTCACAATTCCAACCAGGGGAATCTCTTTACCTATTGAAAAATTTTTTTTTCAAAAATTTACCAAGGACACAATTTTTTTTTCAACTTTCAATCAAGGATTTTTCTTTTTAATTAAAAAACTCATTTCATTAAATATTGTTGATTCTGTTGAAATTTTGAAAAAGAGAAAAAAAAATGTTTCTATTTTATAGTATTTGGTATTACATGCTCTCTTATTAATTGGTTTTCTAAACCAAATATTGGACATTTTATGAAATATATAAATCGTGGATTTAATAAATTGATATTTTCTTAAGGGGACTTTCTAGATTAATAAAGTATAAAAAATTATTAATTTTTTTTTCTTCTTTTTCTCTTTGTAACTCGTTTAATGTAAATAAATAATTAAATAAAATATTTATAAAATATTAATAAAAAAATGTGTTTTTTGTCAATTCTAAATATATATATATACATATATATCTTTTTATATTATAAAAAGATTTCGCCGCAGCCGCCGCTGTTTCAGAAATTTTGACAAGGATGGGTCATTCCATGTCAAGTGTACCTAACCCATGTTTTTGTCATGGTTAGGTAAGGGTTAGCCAACCCATGTTTTTAACATGGATAGTACACTACACTTGATATGGAATGACCCATATGAATATAGCCGCAAGTCCCCTCTCCTTCTCCTCCCTCTCCTCTCCCCTCCCTCGCAAAAAATGACCTAAATTTTAAGGTTATGTTCGTTTCAAGAATCTGAATAGGGCCGCATGTCCTCCTCCCTCCCTTCGCCACTCTCCGTATTTCCCACCAAAAATCACCTAAATTTTAAAGTTATGTTCGTTTCAAGCCTCTAAATATAGCCGCAAGTCCCCCCTCTAACGCCAAAAATGACATAAATTTTGAGGTTATATTCGTTTCAAAACTGAATAGAGCCAAAAGTCCTCCCCTCAACGTATTTCCCGCCAAAAGTGACCTAAATTTTGAGGTTATGTTTGTTTCAAGACTCTGAATAGAGCAGAAAGTCCTTCCTCCTTCCCTCATCTTTTTCCGTATTTCCCGCCAAAAATCACATAAATTTTGAGATTATGTTCATTTCAAGACTTTCAATATAGCCGCAAGTGGAGGTGGATTTCCCGCCAAAAATGACCTGAATTTAAAGGTTATGTTCGTTTCAAGACTGTGAATATAGTCGCAAGTCCCCCCCCCCTTCTATACGTTGAAGGGGAGGTGGATTTTCCGCCAAAATTGAACTAAATTTTAAGGTTAAGTTATTTTGGCGGGAAACGAACCGAGAAACAAACATATCTCAAAATTTCTGCCAAAATTTGGAGCAAAAAGACAAAGAAACAAACATAATCTCAAAATTTAGGTCCAACTTTGAAGGAAAATGACCAAAAAACGAACATAACCTTAAACGTAGGTCAAATTTTAGCTGGAAAATGTAAATAATTAGAAAAATTTTGTTTTAAAAATTAAAAATAATAAAAATTATTGTTAATAAAAATTGTAAATAACATTTAAAGAAATAAATAATAAAATATTAGTAATAGTTTTAAATTCCAGAAATTGGCCAAACATTAACTCAAACATCTATATATATATATATATATATATATATATATAGAGAGGGGGGGGGTATTTGGAGGGTAAGCAATATAATTAAATAAATAATCTTTTTAGGGGATTTAATAGGGATTTTGAAAGTTTGACTAACTTTTGGAAACGATTAGAAGTTGTCAGAAGGGTTATATGTACGAGTATTGGCTTGCATAGTAATGAACACTTGACTTTCAGCAACTCCGATCTTCGTTGTGTGGTATTATGCAACGCTGGCTTGCATACGATTAGTCGGATCTCAGGGAGAAATTATTCGATTTGTCGTTTCAACTCCTGACACTTTACTACTGACAATTACTATAACTTAATCTTGTACCGCCTCTAATATGCATATTTCGCATGTAATTCGTGACGCACTCATATAGTTGCGTGACAAACTTCGTATTTTCATGTGTAAATATAATGATTTTTTCAAAAAAAAAAAAATCTTTGTTAAAATTTTATTTTATTAAATTTAAAATTATTTATTTATATTCTCTTTATTTAGAAAAATTGTATTTGTTTATTTATTTTTTCAATTTAAAAAAAATATGAAGTAAAATTTATATTACAAAAATTAAAAATTATCTAACAATTAATTAATTAATTAAATTAATTTAAATTTTAATTTTAATTTTAATTTTAATTTTAATTTTAATTTTAATTTTAATTTTAATTTTAATTTTAATTTTAATTTTAATTTTAATTTTAATTTTAATTTTAATTTTAATTTTAATTTTAATTTTAATTTAATTAAGTAATTAATTAATTCATTTAATTTCAGTAGTAAAAACAGTTTTTGTCAGACAAAATTGAAAAAGTAATCGTATTAAAATGAAAATTTAGAAAAAAATAGAATTTTAAATATAGAAAGAAGATCGAAAATTGTTCTTTTTAATAATAATGATTTAGTAGATAATAATCAGTAGTAATATCCAGTTTTGGTCAGACGATGGATATAAATTTTTTAAACTGTCATGAAAATTTCGATATATTAAACAATAAAATTAATGGATAGTAGAAAATTTTCAATTGTCCTTAATATTGTTTAAATTTTTTTCCCCCTTTATTTGGAAAATTAATTTTCAGTAGTAAAAACTAATTTTTGGTCAAACAAGTTATATAGAAACGTATCAGAAAGAAAATAACTAGAGCAGTTAATGATTAAAATTATCAAGAAATAAATTAAAAAAGTTAAAATAAAAATAGTTTTTTTTTCTTTTATAACTTTCTTTTTATTTAGTTTTATATTTTCTTTTGAATTTTTTCAAACATACACGGAAACGAATCCTCTTAGGATTAGATTTTAAAGGGATTGCCTTTTTTGCAAGTTAAATTCCGTTCAAGCTTTACTATTCCATATATATAACGCAACAGAGATATCGACGTAATTTTATCGAAAGGGAAAACTAAAGTCACAAAAAATCTCTTCTTTTTTATAGTACATAGAAGTAAATTAATTCAAGTTAAAAGGTTTTTATATTCACACATAATTTTCAGAATTTCAGAATTTTGAAATTAATTTTCACCTACTATAAAATTGATTTCTCTAAAGTTAAATCATCTTTCGCAAAAGTTTGATAGTTAAATGTTCACTTTGATATATAAATTCAAGACTCACTAAGAAACTGTGTTCAGTTATATAATATAATTTTCTTCAAAGTTGTTTGGTAAAGTAAATGTATTGAATTTAAAAAATTTTTAATATTAGTCAAAAATTGTTTGCATTTTATTCTGTTTATTTTTAAATAAGTAAAGAAGAATTTAAAAAAAATTTCTTCTACACTTAACTAATTTTTTTTTAAATGAAAATATATTTAATTAACATTACTCTCTGAATTTTATTTAATGAGTATTCCTTTGGTAATTTAAATTAGTGACAATATCTATTAATTTTTAGTCATTTTTCACTAAAATTTTAGTAAAAAAAAAAATGTTACTAAATCAAAAAGTAATATTTTATTAAAAAAATTAGTAAATATTTCCACGAATTTGAAATAGTAAACGAATTCTAATTAAAATTTAAAGGCTGTATATTAATAAAAAGAAAAAAAAATACTTCACTCTATTCTCATCTGACAATTTTTGTCATATCTCAAGAATGATGTGAAAGCTTATCAGTCAGAAGTTTATTTATTTTTCATTCATGGTACACGGGAAAATTCCAACTAATGTCAGATTCACAGAACAATGACTTTTCCCCTTTTAGAATCAGGAAGTAGAGCTGAATAGTTCACACACACACACACACACATATTTATTATTATCTCAATAATCACCGGAATATGGCAATTATTCCAAAATAATCAACAGATTGATTATAATCTCATTATACACAATATACGTATAGAGCCTACAAATTCCGCGCATGGAATATTGCAATTTCAATCTTGAAAAATTTATTTGCCTCGCATGAAGAAAACTAGAAAAGTATATCTCGGAGTTTCAACCTTGAGCGGATGTGGATTTTCAGCTTTCTATTTCCGTCTCGCCAGCCGGACGACGTTCGTTTCTTTCTGTTTGCAATAAAAAAAAAGAAAAAAAAAAGAAAAAAAAATAGTCAGAAACAGGAAGTGACTTTAGCCTTCGAGAGTCTCTAGTGAAATTGACTGGACAGAAGTACGAATTCAAGGTACAAATCTCTCTCACACAAAGTTGTGAGCAAGGAATAAATTGGCTACTTGATCTTCAGAGACCATTGTATCAAGTGAAGGAGAGTATATTTTAAAAGAGAAATAGAAGAAAATCTTGAGGAGAAAAAAAAGCGGATAAGTTTTAAAGTCAAATTGACCGATTTTATCCTTGTGTCTGTAAAAAAATGTTTATCTGGAACAGCGATACCCTCATAACAAAAGGATATCCCTAGGATATCCATAGGATATCCATAGGATATCCATATCAATGGTCGATATCCTAGAATGGTCCCCAGGATATCTTGGGATATCCAAACCGCCGGTCTGTGGGACATCAACAGGACATCCATAGGATATCCCTAAGACATCCACAAAATATCTATTGGATATTATATCGCAGGATATCCATGGGATATCCTCAGGATGTCCGTGGGATATTCTTAGGATATTCACGGGATATTTAATATCTCAACATATATTTTTAAAGGTTAAAATTGTTAAGCTAATATGAGTCGCCGGAAAGTAAAACCACACATAAAATTCTGACGGCCATGTTAATGCAATTGGAGTC